CCTCGAGCGACTCTTACGCTTCTTTCGTGCTTAGCAACCTCCCGCGTGCATCCATAACTCAATAGTGTACGCTGTGGTGTTTACCATTTGTTAAATATTTGCTGCAGCATTTATTTAGGGTGCTCTCCAATAACACTTATTAGAATTAATGGTATAAGAACCAAGGGAGGTCAATTTGTATCTGGGTGAAGATCCTAAACATGAAGAACATTCAGCTCTTTCAATTCCAATTTCAATTTTCTGCTTTGTCTGACTTACTTTTCGTATAATTTTTTTGCTCTAAAAGTTGGGTTAATGATATCCTTAAGTTTATGATTTCCTTTATATTCCTCACCTTGCAACCTGTGAATGTATCGATTTCTAAATTTAGGGTGAAGTTTATTTTGGTCATTCCTGGATTTCAGAGGGCTAAATCGTTATACTATCAGTATCTTCTTCTGGATGACCTTTATTTGAATGTATTGCTGATCTGAAGATGACTGGAGGCTATGATTTTAATTTTGATTTAGTAAAGGTCATGACCTTATGAACTATTAACTTGTTGATAGAGAATAATTTTTTTTTTTCAGATTGAGTATATAGAAACCAGTGCTAAACAAAGAACCAATGTTGACGCAGCATTTCACAACCTTGTGAGAGCTATCAGGTATTGTGCAGTACTTTGTTTTTTATTGTTATTGTTCTCTGTTGTGTTGCTATGTTATCAGGGCCAAGGGCGACTTTTGTTAAGGTGTAAAGTGACCAGTCCTAACAAACTGAAATGGGTAGATTCTGGTAATTTAATCTGTAACTAGAAAGAGGGGATTGAAAAATGGTGGTGGAAACAAAACAGCATTCGATACCAACAAAATATTTATGTTGGTATCGAATGGAATGGTATCAAAATATTTATGTTGGTATCGAATGCTTCCACTCAAAGGAAGCTACCACACCAGGAAAAGAAAAAATTAAGATATCAGAAAGCAGAAATGTGTAGATTTTACATTTCATGTCAGATTAAATAAGGTAAGATGGCCGAGGTAATGGTAAGAGTGCTGGATTACAGGTTTGAGAGGTCTTGAATTTCAGTACTGGCCACTATAATGTGCTGTATTCTAAGGCAGGACACTTAAACTGTGTCTGTACCTATCTCCACCCGGGAGTATGAATGGGTAGCAGTGAACTGTCAGGTAAACTTGATTAACTGCTGGGAGGTACTATTTGATAAATGAGTATTTCATCCAGGAGGAGTAGGAAACATTCCTTGTTGTTAATTTGTAACCCCAAGAGGTGATCAGAAAGTACACTCTTCTTACAAATGATCATACACCATCCAGCAGGTCTTTACTGAGAATTGAGAACATTGTCAACTAAGGAATGTGGCCTTTTGTTCTTTAAATACCAAATTCTAAGGAATAGCCAACAGAGAAATGCATGGTAACCAGTGAGAGGCATTTCCTCCTTCAATGAGGGAGTGAAAGATTTCATGCTACAGAATTTGAGATTGTCTCATGTAGGATGAGCTAGTTGGTTCTTGAATCAGAATTCATACTATGTTTTGTTTTGTGTCTTATTGTAGAAAATTTTATGCACAGCTGGAAGAACAAGGAAAGAAAAACAATCCCAGGAAGAAAAGCAGATGTCTAATTTTGTGACCCTTTTCGTTTCATTCTATTAGGACTTTATATTTGTTTGAAAATCTTTATGTTAGAGCATGAGATGATTGAAAAGTTGTCAAATTTCTGAACAAGCCAGCGTGCTTGCTCAGAAAGAGAGAAACACTAGAGAAGAACTATGTTTCACGTTATTTTTGTACAAAATATGCATGTGGCGTTGGGCTAAATTAATTAATACAGGACGGCATCTTAATACAAATTACTTTTTTCAGTGTGAAGAGTGAACGATAGAGAAATTTGTGTGAATTCCTTGTTGTAAAAAGTCTGTTACAGACAAACCTTAACTACATGTATGCAAATAGATGTATGAATTCATGTTATGATAATCTAACTTCTAACAAGCCATGGTGAAAAGACTTGATTTTTCACAGCAAATTTTTTAAACCTCTAACCCCTAAAAGTATGATGAGCATCTAGTTTCCCACAACAGTATTATCCTTGAATTAGCATTAAGGCCACGAGAATAAAGGAAATGATCACAAATTTAAGAAGCTCTTGATTGTTAGGCAAATTCTCCCTATAGGTACCACGGGAAATGTATTGGGTACGATATGGAGAACTTGCATGCTGATCTTAGGATGTAAGGGGTTTAGAAGAAATTAATGTGCGTAGATGCTCCAACAAGATTCTTGTTTCGCTCCATGACCTTGTATTGTATACTTAATATTATCAATAACAAAATTGTAGTCTAAAAGCTTTTTACCTAATATCTAGACATATTTATCACGAGATAACAGTATTTTTTTTCTCGCTACTTTTGTATTTTTTGTCTTATTATATTAATGTTCTGAAGTGGATTTCCCGGAGCGATACATGTTGACATCACGGAAGAGATTTTGCTAGTATTTGTTTAAATCTAATAAATGAAATAAACATTCCATCAGTTACTTGAGGTTTCTCGTTTTAACGCTGGCCCGTCGTGTCAATGACGCACCCAAAAGGTGTCTCCACAAGAGGAGACTAAAAAAATTTTTTGAAGAATAAATGCTAGCAACCGCGTAGAACGGTTAAGATCATCAAGGAAGGTTTTTTTTAGTTGGAGAAATTGTTTTGGAAGGGCTATCCTTTAGTCCACACGGCCCTCTTAAAAAATTTGTGACCTGGAGGGAACAAGCTATTTAAAATCCATGAAACTTCTAATTAATGTTTTCTAACTTGAGTGAAAGTTGTATCTTAACATTAGATCAAAATACTACAAACGATATTGTTTAAAGATCTTTCCGATAATAAATGGATTCATTGCGACAATTCGGTTAATTGTTTTTTCTTAGCGAAGTCGTGAATTACAGACAAGGCAATTCGGCTCAAGCTGCGAACCAATGATCCGAACTGACCAAGCATTTGGTCAACTGTGAATGAATACGTTTTCTCTTTTTCTGTGATGATGGGGTTCCCTCTCTTTTTTTTAGAACATCTCACTAGGGTAGTAGATACAACTTGAGAATCAACTGATTTGGCTGGAGATTTCTGATTGATAACGGAATTATACAGGTTGGTCGGTTCTAACCAGTTGTTAGTGCAGTAACTTTAACATACAGCCATGTACTTGTGCCTTTACAGGATGATATCTTTTATGTTACCTAATTAACAATGTTCATATATTGTTTGTCTGTGGGTATGTCGTGATAATACAGGTATACGTATCGCGTTTCAAGAATCCTTAGTGGAGTTTACAGGCCGCAACACCTTAAACGTGCTCAGGATTAAAAAATTCCCTTTCCCGGCACCCTGCTAAGGCACCGTACACAAGGGTACACCCTGATTGTCTTTCCTGTCTTGCAGTAAAAGTCTCAGGGTGATCAGAGCAGGAAGTTTCACTTTTCTGAACTCTTTTCAATTCCTTTTCGAGCTTCAACAACAACAACAACAAATGAAATAGAACTTCTGCTAACAGTGGCTCAGCCAGTCAGGGCCAGGCAATCGTGTCCGTTAGATTTTGCCCAAAATGGCCTTTGTCTCAGCCAATCAGCACTGAACGATTTCCCTTCTGTATCTATATTAAATACATGTGGACAATGAAAATGTCTACTGAAGTCTTGTTGCAACCACCCGTTGGTCTTGTAAATGAGCAGTTGACGTTAACAGAATACAAAGTGGAATCTCTCGTCTTCTACTTCCGCCTCCCTTTGCAGAACTAAGGGGTCAACGAAGTAAGCCTCTCCCTTCCCCACTTCCTCCTTCAGTGAGAGAAAATCACTAGATAAACAACAGACATGTCCCTTGGTAACGATTTCTAGAAGTTTCAACTAACACAGGTTACAAAAAGAAACAAGTTAGCATCAACTGGATGTTTGGCGGGTAAGTGGTTAATAATCAAGGAGAACAGGCTCTAGAGTCGATTTGGAGTTGCTTTTAAACTTTTCAAGCAAGTTGTCCTAAAGTTGACTGATGTTCACTAGCTTGCACACTAACCCTGAAGTGCCCGGCTTGCAAAATGCCCTTTGCTTACAACCCCGCGTATCAAATTTCATGCTGAAAAAGATGGCCTGCAGAACATTGAGGCATCAGTTTGGCGTGTTCAGTTGAAAGAAGACAGAGAAGAAAAACATGAGGCGAGAGGCATCCCAAAAAAATGACGCTTGGACGAATCTTTTTTGCACCCTTCTCTACAAATAATAATAATGATAATAATTTATTTCTTATATAGCGCTATTTACAATAACAGATCAATAGCGCTTTACAATTGAGATCTCTAAATATTAAAATCTCATCTAATTAAAAAGTAATTACATATATTATATTATATCATATTTTAGTATAATTTCAGAGCTGAACAAAGAGTTTCTAGCGATCTGATTGGTCGAGCGGTTCCTTATATGACGCTATATAAACCGCTCCGCGCGGTTTATATAAAATGTTAAACTAAAATGTTAATAAATGTTACTAAAATGTTATGATTTTAGAAATTTCTCTGTTTTTCAGCTCTGAAATTAAACTAAAACAATTATTCGCCTCAGGTTCGGTGAATATTGTCGAATAATTCCCTCGACTTCGTCTCGGGGATTATTCGACGATACTCACCGAACCAGCTGAGGCGAATAATTGTTTAATATTCTCTACGCGTGACGCCCGCGTCTGCTCGCTTGAATACTAAAAAGGAATTTTCCCTGGGTTGTTCTCTTTAAACAAGGAGACTGACTACTCATGGAAAAACTAGACAATAGCGAAATTTACAAGTGTATTTGACATGTCAAGGACACTTGCCAACACCAACCAGGTAAATTAAAGCTTTATTTCTCTCAAGCATGTTCATGTCGAGGCTCCTGGTAGTGAAAATGTGTCCATTCCTTCGAAGACTCAGAATGTATCAAACGCACGGCATTTTGTTTCACAGGAGAAGAAGACCGCCAGAAACCTAAAGTAAGTCTCTAAGCTTTTCAGATTTGGGTGATAAGAGGATCTACAATTGTAATTAATTGACAACGTGTTCAGCGTCCAGGTGGACTTCTAGTCACGCAAAACGGAAAGTCAAAACGAGGATTACTACATCTATTTTTCAGTCCTTACCCATCACCTAACCAGGTAAGAATTCTCAAAATAACGTAAATTCAAACACGATGAACTACTGTTTACCTATTTTGCCAAAACATCTTTCAGACTCACTCGGTAACACTTAAAATGTCAAGGGGCTCCCCATGTAAACTCTGTATTCTTATATCCATATTTTTGGTTGTTGTTTTTTTGCAAGGCTCCTGTGCTTTTCCTGAGTTTAACAACCATTCTAACCACTTAATGAAGACAGCTCTCCTTTAATAAGGAATTCCACCCGTTCATTTTCTGATTACTAACGGGGTGTACAGGTGTATAATTAAATTGTTTTCGTTCCCTGTAATTGTGTAACAGACACCATGTGTTCTTTTAAGACAACGTGCCGAAAGAATTGCCATTCTGAGCATGCTCCGTCCAGCATTCTCTGCACAAAAACCTATTCTTCTCAGCTGTTGCACAAAAGCAGGTACTTGAGCTTTCCGCACTACCGTCCTGTTCAGCGAGAAATCTTTCATCTCATCCTTTCCAATTTTCTTGCGTGATGTTCGCTTCGCATAGACCTCGAGTTTTTCGTTCGCGTCTCGGGTGTTGCATCTGCGGCGCTAAGTCTTCGAGCTCAAGATTCACGTCTTCGTCAAAATATGAGTTGTTGTTTAGCGGTTGCTTTCAATTGAATGAAAAGAGGCAAGGAGAGATTTGCAATGCCTGTGTACTTCTGGTCAAACGGTGGAAGAAACTTCCCTCAGGCAGTTCGAAGAATTGGAAGCATGTAAGTTGAGAAAATATTTCGTCTTTGTGATGTGTTTCAGGAAGAGCGCAAACCGCAAATCAAATGTCATTTGCCCTTATTGTCATTTTTTGGCTCAACTTTTTTTTTTTTTTTTCATAACAGGTCGTAGATAGTAAAGCAACAGTGAAAAGAACTATGAAGCCAAGAAGAAGTTCGAGGAATTCTATGACAGTGGAAAACGGAAACGAAGTAACTTCCACAATGAATGGCACTAGAGCAACAAGTGGTCGTAGCGCGAGTTGCGGTGGACAAGAAACTCGAGGTTAGTAATGGTCTTCATTGTCTATTAGGAAGACGTAAAATGGTAAAAACAATTTTTTCTCACCTGGTCCTCGATGACAGTCACCTTACGTTTGTCGAAGACCCCAACTGAATTGTGTGTTCATTTGACATCACAGAAATCATCTGTTGTTATTTACAATTTCTAAGTTTTCTTTCAAGGAAACGAAGTCGATCAATAACTGAATGAATTAAATCATAACCATTACAGAAACTTTTAGTGGTTTGATACTTGAAATGGAAGAATAACCATAGCGACAAAGACGAAAAACTTAACCTAAGGGTCACAATTTCAGAGGAAACGTTTTTAAACGAACAGCAAATTTATTAAACTTTTAGTGGCGAAAATTGACGATGATATAATTACTTTGATACTCTGCTGTCTTGCTCATGGGAGTGCAAGAAAATATTATCTCTGAATGCAATGTAAATGAAAATGCACGATTTTTGCGTTTCTAGAATTTCCTAAACCTTAATCGTATCACTGAGCTTCCCACGTCAATCTGTTGAGCCCCTATCTCCTTGCCGGACCGTTAGTTTATTTATTTTCTTTTCATCAAGGATGGGGAGTTGGGGGGGG